TCGCCCGGGAAGCGAACGGATCTGCTTCAAATCTCGGCTCAGCAATTCGATTCTTTTTCTGTCGAAAATTTTCAGAAGTGGGACACGGTCGTTCTATATACTATTTGTGCTGTATACTCATTTCGTTTTAGCGCTACATACGTACAATGGCTCATGAAAGTATTCGAACGCTTACATATGCAAACTTGAATGGCCGAAATAATGTACATTAAAGTAATTTGCTGAAACAAGTAGATGTCAATAGGAAGGTGGAAGTCTTAAGATTATGCCAGTAAAATTTGAAAAGGATTCAACAACGTAAAGAGGAGTTATGATACATTTATTAGAAACAGGCATGATAAGCGACTCACAAAAGTATTCGAACTCTGTAACACTGTTGATAGTTTTTCATCTTCCTTTGCACCGAATGTAAACATCATTGCTAAATGAAAATATTGGTACGTTCACTTGATGTTAGGATATCGTTTCAGTAACAGTAACGTAAAAGTGTGCACAATAGTATTTAAAATGAACACCAAAAAGTCTGAACCAAAAAGTGTGAAAGAGAAATAATATTACGATTGCATGAGGACGGCAAATCGTATAACGAGATTACCGGGATTGTGAACAGAAGTAAGTCTACAATACATTACATCATAAAAAAGTCAAAGAATGAGGGAACACTTGCAAACAAAGCTCGATCAGGTCGACCAAAGAAATTGACTGGAAGAGAGGAGAAAGTTATCATTCGCGAATTAAAAAAGAATCCTACTATATCCGCTCCTCAACTCGCAAATATGGTAGCTGATATGTTTCATAAAGAAGTTCACCCGGAATTATGTCGACGAATCTTACGAAACAATGATTTTCATGGCAGAGTACTGCGAAAGAAGCCATATATTAATGCAGTAAATCGTAAAAAAATATTGACTTTTGCGAAAACCTACATTAATAAAGATAATTCTTTTTGGGATAAAGTCATCTTTTCGGACGAGTCAAAGTTTAATATTTTTGGCTCAGATGGTCAAAATTATGTGTGGAGAAAACCAAATACAGAATTGGAAATTCGACATTTACATCAAACAGTGAAACACGGAGGTGAATCGGTCATGGTATGGAGGAGTATGGCTGCCAGTGGCACCGGAAATTTAATATTTATTGACGGAATACTTGATAAATATAAGTATTTAAATATTTTAAAGAATAATATTAAAGAAAGTGCCAGTAAACCAGGATTATTGGAAGATTTCCACTTCTAACAAGATAATGATCCGAAGCATACTGCTAGAATTGTAAAAGAATGGATCGTATATAACACACCACACATGTTAATTACTCCACCGCAAAGTCCAGACGTAAATCCGATTGAAAATTTATGGGCTGAAATCGGAAAAAGATTAAATAAATTTCAAATAACATCAAAGCAAACACTGAAAAATAAAATTATAGAAATATGGAACTTCATTGAGTGTAGTTTTACAAAATCATTGGTTTATAGTATGGAACATCGGCTAAGAGACATTATAACTGCTAAAGGTGGTCCAACAAAATATTAATATTAAATAATTTAATAATACATGTAGCGTTCGAATACTTTTGTGAGTCACTTACCATGCGTGTTTCTAATAAATGTATCATAACTCCTATTTACGTTGTTGAATCTTTTTCAAATTTTACTGGCATAATCCTAAGACTTCCATCTTCCTATTGACATCTACTTGTTTCAGCAAATTACTTTAATGTACATTATTTCGGCCATTCAAGTTTGCATATGTAAGCGTTCGAATACTTTCGTGAGCCACTGTAGGTACGTACTTCGAGTCTCGGAGTTCCGTGCTTGGCCATGGACCGCCACATTTATCAGTCCGACCGAGACTTAGGCGATAACCATTCTCAACGCAGAAAGATTTCGGGGGTGAAAGAGAATTCGTCGATGGATCGAGCTTTCGAGGTCGCGTTTTTCGAACCGCGTTCAACGCTATTTGTATCATCCAGCAACGCGATTCTTTCCGTCTAAAGTTCAAGAGCGAACCAACGGCGAAGCAAACACGAGGTTTCAAAGTCTCAGAAAGTTATAAATAATCGGATACGACCCTTTGACAGATCAGCGTGAGTCGTTTTAACCTTACCCCTACGGGTCGTGGGTTAAAAGGAGCTCTCGTGTTTTTCTCTCTTGTTTCAACTTATGGTTGGAAGGTTCTTAAAGTCAAACACTTCTATAAAAAGAGATAGCCGCGTAGTGCGTGGAGGTTTGTTTCGTTTTAACGCTTAAAAGCTTGACGCGACGAACCGTTTGCTTTGCGGCTTGCAAGTCATCGTTTTTACACGTCTGAAACCAGCGTTCTTTCGTATAAAACGAGACACTTCGTGAAGACTTTATTTCTAGTCGTAGTTCGAAACCCGTTTAGAACCGTAGAATCCCAGCCTCATGGTAGATATTGACTTACGCTTGTTAAGAAACTTGTCTCACGGTGTTGTATAAAAGCTGGCCAAAAAGATGACATCGATAATTTTATCATTATAGCATTTACGAATTTTGTTTATTTTAAACGTACAACTTAACAAAAAATATGTAGACTGTAAATAATTGCTTTTTTATTACAAAATATTATAAATAAAAATAGACTCTCAAAGAAGAACAGGTATCATTAAATGCATAGTGATTAATTTATTACCTTTTTTTTCAATCAAACAAAACTGTATGCTTTTCTTGACAGAAATTGATAAAGATTAAATTAAAAATGATCTAATAAGATAATGTAAATGCATCGTGAAAGGAAGAATGTTAAATGTTTATAAACAACAATTCGTTACGCGTAATACGCATCCATAAATCGCGATAAACCGTAGAATTGTGGTGAATTTGACAGAGATCCGAAACGTGACAGTAAAGTATTCCTGGACAGCGAATAGTTATTTATGTTCTTTGTCTTCTAGACGAAAATTGAGTTGAAACTTGTTCGCGACGCTTGTTAGGTCCGCGTTCTTTACACAAATCACATGCGACAGTCATGGCTGGCCGGTGACATGTGTTTGACACGCCGCAGAAGACTTTCTTTTTAAACGACCGCAAACTGCGATAATAACGACGGAACAGAGATAAGAAAAAGGATGAGCTAGCAGAAGCTCAAAGAACCAACGGATACTAAGATGACACGAACGTATCTAACACAACAGCTGCAAGGTGCACCCGATCCGTAAAGAATTCTCGAGGAACGACGAGGAATTGTAAGTTTCTCCTCTTACAATTTCCTAAAATGATCAAAGAGCAGACAAGAACAAAGAGAAGTACGCGCGCCGAGAATGAGAAAAGTTTTCGACTCGCCAACACGACGTTCCGAAAGCATTTCTTTACAAATCTTTTTTACCTATTGTAACTGTTCCGCTTTATTATTACTGGCCACGACACACGCTCGAAATCTCGAAAATTTTTGCTATTTTTATGATTTGAAACGTTCACTAAACTATTGCATTCGTTTATTTCGCGAATATTAATAAATTCATTTCAAATATCTACTTTGGGATTTGCCAATTATTCTACAGGCCTTTGAAAAATATAAAGGACTTGATTTCGACTTGTCGAAAAATAGACAAACGTTTTAAACATTCGTCAAAAGTGACGAAGGTCCTGCGGGCAAGTCAAAACAAATTGAATTTAAAATTTTTATTATTAGAATAAACGTACGTATTTTATTCACCGAACCATTCTAAAGAATGTCTTCAAACGATGTGAAATTTATTAAAACGTGCAGTTATTATATCGATATCATTTGCTTAAAGTGTGATACCTAGCGACCTTTACGACTCGACAGAAATAAAAGACCAATAATAACATTTGATATTCGATTAGAACATCAAAAATAGTTAGTAATAGAAATGATTGTTTACAAACCAAAATAATTTTATAGTGTACAAATTAACTGTAATGATTACAACATAAATTTTTTTATCGTTTTTTTTTTTTTATCAATAACAATACCAGATTTAATCGAGAATTCGTACAGAAGAGCGATTATCGGAAATAAAATATTGCGCGAATATGATGCGGAAATAAGAATAAAAAATACTCGTACGACTAGATAAAAATATGTTTCAAATTATTCGAATAATCCGTTATTCTGATAGCAGAACCGTAAGTAAATTTATATACTAAAAACATTTTATGTATTATTAAATTATGAAATACATAAAATACCATTATTATATACATTTACTTACAGTTACTCAAACACGGTACGTGACCCAAAGAACGATCTTGGGATCTCGTCATCGTAATTAATTGCCCTCCACGTAACATTCATCGGAGCAGATATTCAACAGGAAAAGTTAGATCCTTTATAAATATTGTATACTATGCTCAAAGCATGTTTTTTTTTATATCTCGGGTTTCCCCGGGGTTCGAACAAAATGGAAACGTTTAAAAAAAGCTGATCGTGAAAACGAACGCTTCGCAGCATTCAATGTCAATGCGAGCACGTGTCGACAAAGGTGAAATAATAATATTAAAATTGATTAGTGAAAAATACCGGAAACAATTGAAAAGAGGAAAATATATAATAAAAAAGAATCGTTAGTTTTTTAACTTCTATTAAATTAATTTTTAATGTTTCCTAAGTTGATTTAATATTTAAAAGATATTTTTCTAATTCGCTGACCGAATATTTCGGAAAGTAAACATTCTCCTTAAACTTTTACAAACATTGTCGACGAAATTTCAACTGCAAATTGGTATCGAACAATTCCAATTTTGAATAAAATTTAAAATTTACCATATAATTGCTGCAAGGTTAAAAATTCCATGGATCGTATTACTTTACGAGACGTTAGTTTTAATTTAAACAAAAGATCATTTCTTTGTCTCGTTACTATCGAGAGTTGTATGATTTTTACGCAAACTTGGTCAATTTGTTCCATTGTGTGGAGCAGAGTGAATTAACGTGGAAGACATTTTGAATCGATGAAATCTAGGATGAAAGGAGATTGTTCGAATCGACTATGATAGAAATGAAAATTGTTCTTACCGGTATGATCGATGTGCCGATGATGATTCCTGACGTACGGGGGTGCAGGGTGTCTCGGCTGCATCTCCCAGTACGCGTTTTGACTATTACCAAAATTATTCACTCGTGGCTGCTGCGAGGGCGAAGTTTGCTTGCAAGGCAACCTGGCCATGGCAGTCATCATTTTCTTCTGCGCCTCCTCGCGTGCCCAAAATTAATCACTTCATCGATGGTCTGCTTTGTTGCGCCGTCGTTTCAACCCCATTTTCGAGCGATCGTCTGTTCCCTGGAAAGTAATTCTCTCTGAAGCCTGTGCAACCGTTAAATTTGAATTTCAATGGAAACCGTTCGTCTCATTATCGGGGGATACCGTGTTTACACAATTAGTCGCGTATTAATTGGTCAACGTTCAAGCGTTCCAGCCATGAAATGGTCATTGTGCCCCGACCTGACAATGTTGTTCCAATTGTTGCTGAAATAGACCGTTCGAGTACAAAGGAACCTGCTGCACCTTGTTAAATATTTAATCAACCACTTCCATTCGACTCCGAATATTCGCGTTTTTCAACCTATTCTTGACGACGTTTCAAATAAATACAAAGAATTCTGACTTGAAGCTACATTTAAGGGAGTATGTATTGCTGTCTAGGCTGCCATTTCTTCGGCCTTTTTTTGTGATTTTTTTTTAACGGCAGGTAGGTTGTTTTGTACTGACATTTTGCAGATATATTTATTCATCTTATAGGTATGTACAGTATTTTTTTCAGCAAAAAATATTAAAAATTGCGGGAGTTACAGCTCCTTGTTTAAAACAACGCATTTAAACTGGCTTACATGATATTTCAAGATCTAGCAGACCGATTTACTTCAAATTTGGAGAGAATATTGAGTTTTACTATTTTTTTTAATACGCTAAAGACAAAAGAAAGGTTAAAAAATAAAAATTCGAAACTTGAAGTGTCGCCATTTCTTTATTTATCAGGATTTTCACTTCTCCCTAGTTCCTGCTATAACTGCAACCTGCCTAATGAAGACACCTTAGCGCCCTCTGTTTCAGATTAGCGGATCAGCTGGAATCCTGGAAGCCATTGGAGCACCTTTTCCAAACGAGCCATTAAACAAGAAATTATAACTCCCATGATTTTTAATATTTTTCCATGAAAAAAATATAGTACATGTTTATAAGATGAATAAATATATCTGCAAGTCTCAGTACAAAACCGCTTACCTATCATTAAAAACAAAAAATCATAAAAAGTCTAGACAGCAATACCTTAAATAAATACAATTAGTAGGGACGTTGAAAACGTAAATATTCATCGACTCTATCCAAGTATCTCAGCGTATCTTTAACGACGTCTTAAATAAGAAGAACCACGAGTCGGATAGAACTGCATCTAAATAGATACAATTTTTAAGTACGTTTTAAAGTAATATTCATCTGTGTGTGCACTTGTGATCGAACATGCTATTGCCGATTCATCAAGCACTGTCCCTCAAAGATCCAGTCACGTGTACAATTGCCATCCATTAGAATGTCATTTCTATTCTTCGATCACAGTGACACCACGGTTGTAATACCCTATACCATGGTCATAATAATCCGTCACAACGCGATCATGGTTCGCTAATGCATTATTGGAGTCTCATTTACACTGACGGTCCAATCGCGAGCCGATCAAGCATTATTAGAATCACGTTTCCGTGCACGGGTATTCGAAACATAGGATAACCGAACCGTGATTGGATCACCGGTGCGAGTGGAAACATTGATGGCCACGGGAATGCAATTTGTGCCGCTGTTTGCGGACATGCATAATATTCGAGTCGCGCGATATTCCAAGAGGCTTGCTCGATCGAACCGAGAACGAACCGTGATTGTACCGTAATTAAACAACCGCCATAAATCAAGCACGATACCAAGAATAGTGAAAGCACTTGGAAGCATCTTCGTAAGAGACCACCAGGCCATATAACTGTTCTACATAGGAAAACACGACACACACACGGTGAAAGTGATCAGTCGCGCCAAAAGTAAAGTAAAACTAACATTAGATATCGGTGTGAAATAAAGCAACCTCGAGCTAAACTTTCATTAGAGGATTTTGTGATCCTCGAGACCCGCGACAGAAGGTGTTCTCAACTTGTGGAAACAATTTTCATTGTTTCAAACTATTATCGAACCTTCTGGATCCCTTATGGTTCCCTCTGATAAAAAAAAGAAAAACAATTTCTACGAAAGGGAAATTTCAGTAATTTTACTCCGATCCTATCCGTAAGTATAAAAGTTTCGTTAGAAAAGTTACTTGTAGTTTCAATAAAATGATCAATGCCAGGAAAATAAATATTTTATTGCGCTAATATTTAACCAATTAACGGAGGTTCGATTCGAACGTTATTCGGAGCAAAAAAAAAGTATGTTTCGAAAATATTCTATAGAAATGCAACTAAAGTGCTGTTATTAAAACCTAATTTCCCAACCAAACAACGACCAGACCAGGAAACGTTTTCGGAACTATCGTAACATCCGTCCTCAAAGGGTTGACACTGGAGATCCATTTCATCCGGCTGCCACTTCATGCAGCGCAGCCTCCAAGATTAACTTTTTTTTTCACGCGTTCCAGAAATTATTTTATCCTGTTGAAACCCAGATTTCGCAGAGGATAGTTCGCGAAATGAAATATCTTTCACCACGGTACAGCGTACACATTTATTTCGATCTAACCAACGGATGGTTCTCGAACGTTCAATAGTCTGATCGTGGATTAGAAAAATTTATAAAAATTCCATCGGCATGACTGAAGCTCTCGCGTCCAAGACTCGGCGCTCGTCTATAACAAGCCATCGAGCATTTTTATTGCTGGTTACTTGGAAAGATTATTGAAACTGCGATTCTCGGTACCCGCGCAATCTTGCGAACGACACGGAAGAATAAAATCATCCAAGATGAACGCGGAATCAAAGTCGAATGACTCGTTAACAAGAAAACTACACAAATGGAAACAGAAAAATATTAGTCTATATTCGCTATTTAATGAAACAATCAAAGATCAAGTTTTTGAAACAAGTGATTGTACTCGGAGAATTTTTAATTCTCCTTAATTAACTTTGTAAAATCCATGTAATGTGGGTGGTGATAGACATACAAGACTCGCATTAAGTATTAAAAATGAGGTTATTATTTTTATTTAATAAATAATGTAGGAAACATACTTTATTTTATGTTCGGTTTAAATAAATTTTGTTTCGAAGTTTAATCGAGTGCAAAGGTGGTAGCGGTCTAATTCTTATTTGAAATAAGAATCAATAATTTTTGTTGTTTTTACCGACAAGTCAATTACCATCATGGGACGTGATAGTAAAGTAAGAGACTCCTATCCAGTAGGTCCAAGTTCAATTCCCAATAACAACAAAAGTTTTTTCTCTTAATATAGATAAATTTGAATAATGAAATTCATATATAAAAATGTTAATTAAGTTATAAATAAAGTGTCTTTGTATTTATTAAAATATATAACGTATATAAAAATATAAAAATTTGATAACGATGTGAAATTCCTCCATCCACAGTAGCTGAAAACAAAGAAAGCATTACGAACTTACTTCACAAACGAAGACTTTATGTTATAAATAAAGATATTTTATTTGAAAGATAATTAGATTTATTTTTTGAAATTCAAATTTATCTATATTAGGAGGAAAACACTTATGTAGTTATCAGGAATCGAACTTGGACCTACTGAGCAGTAGTTTACTATTACGCCCCATGGTAGTAATTGTCAGATGATCGATTAAAATTATATTTCTAGATAATAATGAAACTTTAATCATGTGTAGTGAAATGGAAAGAAACGTTTATGATTACCATGTAGAGTAACCATTACACTTATTACACTTAATTCAGTGTTGCACATTTCGTACAGAAAAGTCGAATTTTTCAAATGTCCGTAAATACAGGGTGTTCGGCCACCCCTGGAAAAAATTCTAATGGGAGATTCTAGAGGCCAAAATCAAACGAAAATCAAGTGTACCAATTTGTTGATGGAGGCTTCGTTAAAAAGTTATTAAAAAATAAAATTAAAAAATTTCAAATCATTACGGAAAAATTATTTCCGATTGTGAGGGACAATTAAAATCATTTTTTATCAATAGACATATCCTCGAAATCCTCACCATTTTCGAGAAAAAAATTCCTTACCGAAAATATAATTTCAGGCCAGAAATGTCACTCCAAAATTTTATACGTATCTTTAAAACGTCATAACTTCTGAACGGATTGAAATATTTTAATGTTTCCAACGACAAATAACGCGTATTTTAGTGAAGAATATGTAGAAAATCTAATAATATGGAAAAAGTTGTTCCGTGATCCGATAAAGTGAGAAAACCCCATAAAAATGGTCCATTTTTCAAATGACCATAACTCCTACAATAGTGAATATATTTCAATGAAACTTTTTTCTGAAGTAGAGCTCATGGGTACCTACAAAATTATTAAAAATGAAAACGAGTGTTTAAGAAAAATAGGGTAGACGCCTTTTTTCGGCGAAAAAAAAAATTTCAAATCCTTCTGGAAAAATTATTTTCAGTCGAAGGGGTCTATAACAATCATTTTTGGTGAATAGATACACCCCCGAAATGCTACGCATTTTCGAGAAAAAAAATTCGATAATAAAATTTAATAATTTTTTAACGAAGCCTCAATCAACAAATTAGTATCCTTGATTTTCGTCTTATTTTGACCTTTAGAATCTCCCATTAAAATTTTTCCCAAGGTTGGCCGACCGCCCTGTATATGTCCGCCACCGTACTTGAGAATGATTCTATCGCTAGGTACGAGCAACTGACAGCTCAGTCGATTATAACCGCAGTAACGAGAAATATTATCATTCCAACGTAAAGTGTATTATGTCGATAGGAAGTTGGCCAACCGGCAGACAAAAGCAGCAGGGATTAAACCGCGTGGTATGTACGCGTCTATCTCCGCAACGTTTTACGGTGACAGGGGCTGCGGGAAAGAGACATGCAGTCTAGGGTAAAGGCTGCAAGATAAACAGAGGTCGATGAATCACTCTCGACACGACCACTCTACAAAATTGCGTATCGTCGAACGAAGAAGAAAGAAGTATATACAACGTTAACCGGCAAATATTATCGTGCGTTGAGAAACGCCCCCGGGGAATATAAATGGGATTGCCATTGGCCAACCGTAGCGCACGAACTACATCTGTCCGCGCTGAAAACGATTTCTGAAACATTAGGGTTGCCTTATCTGACACCTATTCC